GATAAAGACACGGTTTATCAATAAAAACAAAGAAGCTCAATGCTGTGATTGAAGGAATAATATTAGATAGAATAAAAAATAGAGTAGAATACAGACTTTCTAGCTTATCCTTAATTTAGATTTTTTTCTCGACTGAAAAGATAAAATTACTCACAATTTTAATTTCACGTGACTCAGCACCAGGAGTTGAACGCTCTACTTCATTGAGTAATATGGGCAGAAAATGAATTACCAGCTTTGCTTCGTCACTTTAAAAAAAAAGGAGAGAAAAAATTAATAATGATTTTGTAGCTCCACAAGCCAATGGAAATGAAGGAAAGCAAAACTGAATGAAAAATCTAACGAGATCAACAAAATCTAACATCTAAATCTAACTAACTGATGAAAGTTGTCTCCCACTTCCCAGATTGGCTCATTGAAAGCTACTTTATTCTCCTGAGTTCAAGATATGAACATCGATTTATCTTCATCTCATAGTCGAGTCTTTGACACACATTCACAAGTTAACCGGAAAAATCATGCTTTTTCAGAAGAAAGTTGGCCATGCTCAAATTTGTATCTCCATTTTCTCTCAGCGCATCAGTACACCATAGTATATTACAATCAGGGTGCAATTTAGAGACTGTTTCCTTGTCTTTCAGCGACAGGAAACCCGAGCTTACCAGAACAAACGAAGGAAAAGGTATTTTTAAACATCATTAGCCAGCAGAAAGGACATCACTGAGCGGAAGGGTCTTTTGTTTTGTTGAGGGGGATGGATCTCACGTGTCCAAAACAACGAAAGGGACCTCTGTATTGGTAATACGACAAGAAAATTCCCTGTTTTGTTTCTTTGGCGATCCTGTTACGGAACCTTCGGGCAGCAAAATAATCAAAGAGGCTAAACTTTTGTAAACAGCACAGAGACCATGGAAACTGGAAAGGAAGTAGGTATTTTGAAGGCAAATCCGTTACTGTTTGATTTTTGTAGATTTGGATTAAAAAACCAGATTTGGAGTTTTTCTCTATAGCCTTGAAGAGAAAGATACAAGTGGAACCAATTTTTTTATAGGGAGAGGGAGTGTTAAAATCTTAATTGTATAAAAAATGAGTGAGCTCAGAGTTTATGCAGTTGACGACTTGGTGTACCCATTACAATTTAGCTTGACCATGTAGAAATTGCAGTACTGACAATTTAGAGATGACAAAATTACAAATTTGCACTTACTAAAGTATGACATTAACTGAGTCATACAGGCCAGAAAAGCCGTTCTGCAGCATACTATTGGCTATTTTCATTAGGTAGACTCGTATTTATGGAAATTAATGAATTAATAGGGCGTCAGCAATTTGCTTTGAATGTAAATGAAGGATTGAAATATTTATAGCATTGATGCCAACTAAAAGAGTTTCCAAATTATTTGTATTTTTTCATGTGCAGCATACACTGTTCAAATTAAATATTAAAGGATAATGAAAAAAATAAAAAAAAAAATTAAGACTGAGATCACTAAAACTCATACCTTTCGTTCAAGTGCAGCATTAACGCACTGGCTACATGATAAAAGTTTTCCAGTAATTTAAAAAAATTATCATCAGCACAATCCATTTGCAACACGCCAGATATCAGGGCAAAAATGACCATACTGCTCTTTGGCAAGATGATATTCTCTACTTCTGCCAGATTTCTGCAAAGTTGAAAAAGAAAGGTTAAGGTGTAAGCAACGCTGTACAACAAATTTGGAGATGGCGGACTCATTACTCAGCCATGACACATTGAAAACTGAATGTCAAAAATGCGTGTCTCCATTGCAATGATTAAAAATCTCTGACTATGTTTTACTTTCTTCAAGAGACACCCATCAGGATATTTCCTTGTAATTTTTGTGAGATTTTTTTTTTTTGTGAATGAGAAAAATTCACAAAAAATTTCCACAGAAATTGTTTGGTAGTCCTCTTTCAAAGGAATAAAACGTGGGCGAGGACTTAACGCATCGCACACTGATTCGCATTTTTCGATTAGAGTCATCAACATGCTCTTGATTAGGTTTCTGGAATAAAAAAAAAATTGCGACTTATACGCAGAAAACTAGGATTGTTTAAAGCTTTTTGACGCATTTGTGAACTTGCACACATTTAGCAAAAATGGAGGCAGCTACCCTAGATCAAGCACAAATATTTGTCTGAGGCATGGCATCATGAAGTCTCTCTTCCCACCCTCCAGTCCCCTTCACCACCCCATGATGCCATGCTTCAGACAAATATTTGTGCTTGATTTAGGGTAGCTGCCTCCATTTTTGCTAAATGTGTGCAAGTTCACAAATGCATCAAAAAGCTTTAAACAATCCTAGTTTTCTGCGTTAAAGTCGCAATTTCTTCAGCTTCAGACGATTATTTGTGTTTGATCTGGGCTAGGTGCTTCCATGTTTTGTTACCCAAGTTCTTAAAATAGTGATACTTTTCATAAATTTTTTATACATTAAAATCAATCACTTACTTCCACAAATTTAAAAGGTCAGTAACAGTTTTACAGCAAAGAGAGCTTTGAGATGCATTTTTCAAAACGAGATACATATAAAGAAAAATATGTATTTAAATTACTTGAAGCAAGAGAGAAAAATTCCGATGCCTTCTCTTGATGGGGTATCAGTTATGGACTTGATGTGTGTGTACAGATGCGAGAAAAATGGTTCTTGATCAGCAAGGTAACACAGCACGGTTAAGCCTTTTTCTTGAGTGGTAATTTCTGAGCCTGTTGAACAAGGTTGAATCAGATTAAAGGGAGGAGAAATAAAATTCTTTATGGAAGCAAAAGTTAAGCAATTATTAGAATAAACTTTGTGGGGTAACATATGCCTCGCTATACTCATTACGAATATGAGTAGAATGCTGGATCATCAATTTACAGTGCAGTTGTTTGTTTATTTATTTTTTTTAACGGGGCAGAGCTAGTTGAAAGATATGGGCTTTTGAAAGTCGTCATTATTTTTGAGAAAGAAATAATAACATTTCACTCGATGCCTGAAAATGAGAGAACAAACTGGCATGGCAACTTGAGGTTCTTAGTTAAAAACACAGTTTTGGGAAAAAAAACTGTTTAAAATTATAATCTGCCATGTTCACGGTGCAAAAATTCAGAAATTGTAATCCAACTGCACACCCTTTGTTGGCGCAAAAAATAACTGGACCGCCCCCATTTTCTTCTTTGGTCACTTATCAGAGCATTTCTTGCTAAAATCTCAAGATCTAATTTTTCGATCTACCTTGACGGACACAACTTTAATTACAATATTGCCTACATATGAATACGTATGAATTTGCACATAAAATTTTAATACTGAAACATACAAAAAAACTTACCATGGTTTGGTTGCAAAGTACCCTCCACTAACTGATTCAAAACTTCCTCTGGATAATGACGTGCAGCAGCTTTAATACATTTTAATATTTGAATCCTAAGCAAAAATACAACAGTACATTACATTAACCACAGAATAAGTTACATAAAAAAATGAACAAACAAGATGACTCAAAACAAGACTATATATGTCTAGGCTCAAGTCTCATTTTCTGCTTTATTTTTTTCCTTTTTCCCGTAGTTTCTTAAGTAGGTAATTCATTTGTTTCATTTTAACCCATACCTCTTTCAAAGAGATCAGTTCAGACACTTTTACAAAACTCAGCAATTTTCTCAAAATCTAGCCAAAAGGAGAGTAAAAATATGAATTTATACTTCTTGCTTTCTTGGCTTATAAATAATTTGTGAATTCATAAAAAGCAGTTCTATCTTTCTTTCCAACCTTTTTAGTATATTTTCCGAAGAAAACTCACTATTTCATTTTTTCTTTACCTGGGAAGAGAGCTTGAATCCTTCTGTAACAAATTACGGATGGCACTATAAAATTGAGCTCTTTCTTCTTCAGTCAGCAATGATAAAATAACGATAAATCCTTCAGCACCTTCTAAAACTTCTTCTTCATTGTTACAGGATAATGCCGATAAATATAATGTCACAATTTTATTACTGTCATTCTGGAGTAGACGCCAATCTGAAAAAAAAAAAGAAAAGAAAAAAAAATTAAATGCAAATCGGTTGATGCCCACACTGCCAAAGATAGTTTATTATCGTATGTGTTACCGAAGTCGACATTACACAGCACTGAGTACCTGATTGTTCGCTGAGCTCAGACAGAGTGTTGTTAAACTTCTCCTGAAATTACTCAATAACCAGCCATCTTGTTAGCAAAATCAGTCGAAAAATTACCTATGGTCTAGGGCTCGCAATGACAGACAACACTTGTTTACCAACAAATTTACATAATCACGACGGGTATAAAAAAAATGGCGAGCTGACGTCATTTTACTGACTTCCATTTTTTACTTTAGCAACGTGTCTTATACCTACCTATGTTTCAAAATGAACAATTCCCTTCTGCTGAAATACATGGGCAACAAAAAAAATAAAAAAAGGGAGCAGAACTTGAAATATATTCGAATTGTTAAAAAGTGATGAGGCAAGCGGGTTCTTCATAGCAAAGCATTGAATTAGCGACGCAAGGCAAAGAACGGAAAAGGTAAAAAAAATAGGAACTATTACAAATCAACTAATAGAAAGCTCTTACCACTAATTTTAAAGACTACAGAAGCACTATACACCAAATTTTCCAGCACTTTTTTTTCAGAGTTGGAGTTCGTGTTACTGCTGTTTGTACCAATTTCAACATCGGTGTCTGGTTCTTCACTCTGCTACGCTACTTTTTTGAAGAAGCCTGGGGCAACTTGACCCCGTTTCAGCAGTTCTTGCTATTCTTCATGGTTATTACTGGACTACTTGGAGGGTAATTGTACCATCAGACCATCTGATTGACGAAGGGTATGGCTTCAACACCATAGCTGTGCTAAAGAGCTCCGACGAATAGTCAGAGTCAGGTCCCTTACTATTGCAGATGGCTGTTTGTTCCATGGTTGAGTTTCAGCAGTTGAGAGAAGACGATTTTCCTATTCTCGTGAGGATTCAGAGTTGGCCTTTTTTTTTTTTTTTTTTTTTTTTTTTTTTTTCTTTTTTTTTCTGTCACTGACATTACTTGTTGGCACTTCGAAATGTCATGCAGAGTTAATGGGGTAGAGGGGAGTGAAGATGAAGACTGCAAAAAAAATCCTTGGACTCATGCAAGGAAGATTCCCTCCTTCCCCTCGAAGTTTCAATGAATAAAGTAAACCTCAGAGAGAGCTACACCAAACATGCAACATTTTGGACATGCACTTTGAGCAACTATTTCAAAATTCAATTTTCTCATCATATGTACAGTGATCCTAATAAAATTCCAACTCCATATGTGGGTTTCATAAAACGTGATGTCCAGTAAAATATTTTGACGACGATTTTAAAAGTTGTATTCATTCTTCGTTGTCACGGGCATTACATCGTCCTTTTGGTTCAAAAACATTTTTCCATAAAAAAATAATAATCTCCAAATGTTTATCTTGATTTTAAACCTCATTTCTGATACATACTAAAAAAAGAATAATTTATTTATACTATAAACATTTTCTCCACGAAACAAAGAAATGTCTTTTTCATCCTAAATTCCCAGGAAAAAAATGCCCAGTTAAGTGACACTCAATCTCCGGAATTTTGTGGCCTTCTGTGTGTGTGCAGGATGTTTTACTCAATGAAGAATCTAACCAAGCTTTAAATCATAAGATATTCGAAAATTCTACTCGGGATGGTCCTTATTGGCTTGGAGGTAGCAGTTTTTGGCTTCCTGTTGTGTAAAAATTTGAAGATCAAACCGATTTGTTTTGCAGATTTATGATTCTGCGTGGTCGATAGGTAGTAATTTTCTTTCCTTTGTGCGTTACTTGAACTCTTGGGAGCGCTGATGAAGCCTTTTGTAACTGCTCCTGAAATAGTGTCATACTGGTTTTCTACTCCTGTTAAATTGACATCTTCTGACTTGGGTTTCCTTCGTGTGAAAAGTGACAGAAGAAGCTGTCAATTTCAGTCCTTCGTGTGCCTTAATGCATACTGACGTTGTAAGCCTATTACATTTAGGAAGATGGGGGACAAGGTGTCCTTTCAGTTGGTCTCAAAGCCTAAAACTTGGCTTTCATGAGAAGCGCTTTCCTGCTTCACGGGAAAAATGAAATTGCTGATTTAACAATTTTGTAGTTAGTTTAAACAAGTGTCCGAAACATTTCAATGTAGATTTTATATAAAAAAAAATGCTAATCCCCACGTGGTGAAATTAGCTTTCCACTATTGTAAAATGCACATTTGAAACATGTCGGACATAAGTTATAACAATTTAATTGTTAAATCAGTAATTCATTTTTTTCTGTGTTGTTCAGTGCCACTTATGCTACAACAGTCCATCAACTAATGGTGTATCTGCCTGGTAACATGTGGATAACAATGCCATTTTAAGATTTTTTCTGGGGATAGAAGGTTTGCTTCTTCTTGTATCAAATGAACAAATATAATTTTTCAGTTTATATTCTTTTAAACTTTTTTTTAAATTTGATAAATTTGGTTCCCCAGTTCATTTCCTTTGGAAAGAATGCTACCAGCCTAGTGCCTTCTTCAGCAACCTGTAATCCACCATTCTTTTAACACGGCCATACCAGACAAGCTGATTGGTCATGCTTTCATGAACAATAGTCCGTTCTGCGTTCATTATCTCACGCACTCTTTCGTTTCTTACATGATCTCATCTCGAGATTCATGTTGATCTTTGCCAGAGATCTATTTCGCTTGTCTTAGGTTCACAAGTCCTGTCCCATTATCATTCGAATGCTAACAGCCACGAATGAGGCTGATAGGGGGGGCTATAATTATGCCTCCAATTCATGGAGCCAATTACGAACACCTTCGGCTAGATACGACTCTGCCGTGATGTCTAAATTATACCATAAGAAATTCTTAAGATCAGTGTTTGAGTTGATGAAATGAGTTCCCTGTAAGATGAGAATACTCATAGAAATGGCTGAGACATTTTCCATTTGATCTCGAAAAATACTGGTGCTGCAATGCAAGTTCCTTGCGTCACAATGAAAAGGATGAAAGGACTTTGGTTCTTGGCTAAAAACAATAGAGGATAGGCTGGTAGTCTGATATCTATGATTGGTGTTCTGTTGGCATATTGATCCTGTTGCTGTCATAAAGGGAGCTTATTTTCTTGTTGTTGGAGTTAGTGGGTAGGTTAGCAGATTTGTTCGATGGTTTAAGATGGGCAAATATAAACTTGTGGTTGGGAGTAAGACCATGACAACTATCAATAATCTTAGCACGAAACTTTCCGGCCCACAAACCTCTTACTAAAATATGACTAGGTTGTGAACATTGGTCACCTTCTTTGTAGCTCCAGGACAGAGAAATATTCTTTTTCATATTACCGAAGGTATTTTTCATCTGAAGTTGAAAGTTCTTTGCTAGGTCTTTGAGTTCTTTGCCATTATCATTAGAGTGCTCATGACCTAGAACAGAGCCGATTATGCCAATATCTTCCGGTACTCGATCCACAGAGCCGATATGGCCATCGAAATCACCAGCTACAACCAGTCGGTGATCTGGTATGATAGCTGTCAGCTTAGGGGTTAGAAATAAAAAGAATTCCACAGCTTCAGCTGTGCCAGATGCTGGCGCATAACATCCAAAAATCTCATACACATCATCGGCATTTTGCAGTTTGATGGAAAGCAGGTCTGGAGAATGGTATTTAACTTCAGTAACTTGGGCATTCTTTTTGACAACAATACTGACACCTCTGACTCGGCGAGATTCTGTAGTAATCTCTGAGTTGTACCAATCAAGCTTATTAGAATTGCTGTTCGTGCAGATAAGGTTACTTTCCTGTAAGATGACAACATCCAAATTGAACTTTTCAAAATAGTCTTCTAATACACTTTGAGACACACCGCTGGTGCAGTCATGTAAGTTCCAGAGGCCAATCCTCAACGCCTTATAGCTGATACTTTGGGTAGCTTCTAATATAGACCCTGTACATGTGTGTTCAAGGTGTTTTACTGGAGTTTCAATCTTGTTGAAGTTGGCAAGAGGATTTAGTGCTTGTTCATTTAAATGCTGAAGGGGAATAGGGCTTTCTTTCCTTTGCATTTTTCCGTTCCTCATAGAATTTTCGGCCTTGCGTTTTCCTGCTCTCAACTGGGAATGGGTTACAGGTGCAACTTGATCAGCTGTATTAGTCTTATCTTTTATAAGTACCAATACGCTATCATAATGAGTTGAATTGGTGGCTCCAGTTATTGTGTCAGGTTTGTTCAATCTGTGGCAAATTTTCAAAATTGGGGCGCCATTGCCAATTTTATGATCAAGTCCATTCTCAGTGTAGATCCGGACACTACAGCCAAATAACTCGCAGAAGGCATGTATGGTTTCCGCTCCTCCGTGACATGCCTGATTATGACCTAAACGTTGAATAAAATGATTGACCCGAATATGCGGGGAAGTACTCTGATGATGCTTCATGAACTGTGGGTCTTGGCTGCTTGTTTGGAGGACATTGATTAAAATTGGTGCTTGGTTCAGATTGTCAAGGAGGTAGTCTCTTATTTTGAATCTCAGCTCCTGGACACTTATTTTCGGTCGATGAGGGCAATGATATTCCAGCTGATGAAGTAATGCTTGAAAAAGACAATTGCCATTTCTTGGCATCACTTTGAGACGTAATGTACCTGCTTGAGCTTGTACAAGTTCTTGGGCCACAGAGAGGAACCATTCTGGAAAAAAAGAAAAAATATAGGAATAGAAGAAGAAAGACCAATCGCCCCAACTACTAGCAGTGGCTTGTTATGCTTCTATTTCAAAGCGAACGATTGGTCTTGCTGTAACACATCATCGCCTCTCTGACTAAACAGCGTAATTTTATTTTCACATGATCCATGTTCTCCGTATAACTCAACGCTTTGTGGGGCTCACATGAAAAATAGGGATGCGCCCTTAAGTCAGAAAGGCAACGACATGAGGGACAAAAAAGGGATGCTAATAAGGAGAGGAGCAGATCTTTTCAAAATGTTCCGGGGAAAAAAAAATAAAGTTGCCACAAAAATAGATTTATGAAAAAGCATTGTTGGACACAAAAAGTTCTGTGCATGGAGTTGCGCAAGTTCCTTGGTAATGATGCTAACTCCCTTCGAGTAGTATATGCTGTCCAACAATTTTCACAAAAAGCGAAAACTAGCACTTATGATACTATATATACAACAACACAACACTCTGCTACTTGACTATTTCTACGGGAATTTACGCATGCAGGAGAGATTGCCATCCCACTAAGATTAAAAAGCAATAAGCCAAGGTACTCATCACTGGGCACTTATGTAGTCCCTTTCATTAAATGTTATCGTACAATGCTCAGGCAGAACCCTGAACCTGATTGCGCTACATAAAAGCATCTGCTAAGCATAACCTAGAAAAAAGGAGAAGCTCTTGAGCTAGTTAAGTATAAAAGCATTCAGTGTTAATGAGCAACGTTACAGCCACTACCTGAAGACCACCTTCTAGAAGGTACCTTACTGGGTCTACTAACAATGCTTACTTCTCTGAACCACTCTCTTCCATCTCAATGAGCCTGATTTAAAATAATAAGAGGAATCAGACAAGGTGAAATCAGTGCTCTGCCTTCCCTGGACGCATGCACTAAATGCCTCAATAAATCCGGCTGAAAATTAGAGGGCTGAGACTATTGTGGCACCTATGAAGTTCACCCACCCCTTCGTTTTTTCAAATTATAAATCGCAAAGCAGCAGTAGCGCTCTGAACGCACTATTTGCAGCCATGCTACGCAATAAGTTAATTTGGCTCCTAAAACAAGGGCTGTCTAGCAAAGGTGACTTCTAAAATTTTTGGAAGGAAGCAGAACACTGGATGAAATGCATTTAATTTAAAAGTATGAGTGAGATTGAGGCATCTGAGAGAACAGATGCTGGTAACATTCTTGTCATTCCAAAATTTCCAGGTAACCTTCAGTCTGATGGCTCATAAAAAATCCGAAATGATGTTGCAGGGTTGAAAATTCAGTTCCCGACGCCCATTTCACTCAAAGTAAACTTTGAAAAAATTGAACAATGACTTAATTTTTTCAAAACAGTTTCTTATCTTCTTCATTCACTGATAGCTTAAACCCATTCTTGAACATAGACAAGTATACGTGTCACGGAAGTTCCAGGAAAGCTGTGCATAGGAGATTTAACTTTCACTGTTGATCAGCGATTTTTTCTGTCAATTTTGACGGACAGCCTAGGATAGATAATGTCATGGATAAAGTTCTAAAGACCTACTGGTTGCTTGCACTCCTAGGCACAGCAGGGAAAAATGCTGGTATGTACATGGATTAATTGCTAAAACAGCGTTTTAACATTTGTACTTGAAGGATTAACTTACCTTCAGGCAAAACCTGAGTTTGAAAGCACACTAAGAGGAATGCTGACATCACTTTGAGCAAAGTCACAGACTCTGCTGAAGACTTGGGGGTCAGTGCTGTTAAAACTGGCACAATCTGTAGGCACAAAGATAACTCATTACCCAGCATGCTTATAAAATGTTGTTACCATACATTAGGGGGTATGGTCATTCGGCCTTGAATCTAGTCAAAACGTATTAGATGAAAAAAGAAAAATTTGAATAAAATATTTCTTCCTTTTTAACTTTACACAACCACCTACTTGTTATTCAACTCAAAGCAAAAACGGTTTACATTATATTAATTGATACCTCATATATTGATATACTTACTAACCCTCAAACCTCCTGCCCCTGTACCTTTGTCCACGGAACCCCAGTGGCTGGGTTTCTGATTCCTCAGGGGGGATTTTACAGTCCGACCATCCAGTAAATGCTATTGGTCTTAAAAGGGATTCACTTTTCGCCTGCTCCTGGACCAGGTGCAGATCTTGCTGGTCAGGTTTTGGCACGCGGATTTCTTCCAGCAACAGACACCCTGTTCCTTAAGCTGATCAATTTCTTTCACTCTGTAGCATGTCAAGTATTTAAGTACACAAAATTTGTTAAAGAAACATTTTGATATAGCTTTAAAAGTGCACCCTGAGAGAATATCACAAATTGTTCTGCCTTCCAGTTTTGGATATTTACTTAGAACAGGCTTCTGTACTTAATTCAAAATGTTTCTATGTCAAATTTTGTGTGGAAATACCTGATATACTCCAGCTTAATGTGATGCTCGAAAATTCCCAATAATTGTCCTAAAATTCAGAAATTTATCAATTGATTGATTAATTACCTTATTGTCCTTTAAAGTACTAGTGAAACCACTTTAATGCCGATGATAAAGATTTTTTAGATACTTTAGTTAGGAGAGATTGGCAGTGTAAAAAATAAAAAAATGAGATCATCAAGCAGTCAGACATACTTTACGCGAATTTTGAGAGAATATTCTCAATTCACACTCGATTTTTCTCATTGGCAATGTTTGTGTAATCAGATGTTGCAACTTAAATGTGATTTAAGTAAGAGATCTACTTCATTATTGGCAGCGAGGATTTTTTTTAGACAGAAATAGATAATGAATCAACCCTAAAAAAATGTTGGAAGAGAACCATCAGCTTTTGCAGTCTTTTGAAAATTTCTTCAAGATTTTTTTTTAAATAATAACATATTCTTGGGTACAAAAGCCATATAAAAATGACAATGACAAAACAGTATCGTTTCTTCCTTTTTTTTTCACTTTCCATTATAATCACTTTTTTAGATTACCAAATCTAAAAAACTTTAATCGCACTGCTCTAGTATATTTAATACTATGCACATTTTCTCTTACTGAACAAGCAAAGGATTGCATTAAATAAAATTATTTATTTACCTTCAACAACATGAAACTACATGAACTATGTGATGCTGAGGCAACGGTTTCTAGCAGTTTACAGATTGGGTTGAACAGACTTAGGCTGAGGTCAGACAGATAGCCTTTCATAGCTGGAGCAAAAATTAAAAAAAAAAATTGAAAAAAAAACAATGACGTAGGAGACATAAATTCCAAAATAAGTAAAAAAAATAAGCCCCTAGTTAAAGATTCTGAAAGGAGTGGAATACATGCTTATGCAAGTTAAAATCCTCTAAAGTTCCGGTCGCCTTTTTTTAGGTGGGTTGTGAGATCGGGCATTTCCTACCATAGAGAGAAAAAAAGGAGGTGTTTGCATCTTGAGGATTGTTCACTCTGTGACGTAGGTCAGTGCAACATGGTCAGCAAAATCCGGAATTCAAAGTATGAAAAACGGACCATAACGTCCGATTTTTTTGCTTAAGTGAATATATTATATAATTTCAAACACTGTAAGTAGAATGACTTTTTTCCATTAACTACACCATTTCCAAGAAAATCGATGATAAAAGTCGCCATGCCGACCTATGTCATCAAAAAAGTCTGAGATGCCCAAAATACAAACACCTCCCTTTTTTTTCTCTATGATTTCCTACACCCTGTTGATGCGCAAGTGATAGATAATTTTAGGGAGTTTGAGTTGAGATTGAAGGTTTTAAAAGGTTTAAAAACTTATTAAGCACACCCAGAATGGGCAAAATCTAATTCTCAATAAGTAAAAACCCACTTAAACACTTACTACTTACATAAAAATATGTCATTTAGTAGGCCATTGTAAATAGCCATCTGGTCTGAGTCTAAGGCTGAGCAGGAAAGATTCTGAACTAGTGAATATAGAACCTTGAAGCATAAGTCTCGCAGTTCAGGATCACCGACACAAGTCAGGATTTCTGATCGTAATGTATGCCAAATCATTGTTACATGAGACATTAGGTTAGCTGCAGGAAATTTTGCACAGGAATCAATCTGTAAAATTGATAGCAATTAAATTACTTGCAAAAATTTATTAGCATATTCAAAAATTTGTTTCTATTCCTTTAGAGCAAGTTTCTTAGAAACCCAATGGAAAATTTATTTCGAAATTTTTCACAAGAGAGCTTCCTACATTTGCAGCCACTAATTCTCATTTTGTCACTTTGAGATTTTTGTCAAAATATTGGTGGTTGACATATATGTGGTGAAAATTTCAAACAATGCTTCTCAGTTTGCAATGTTGCACACTTTTGGTCATACTTTATTTTTTAAATGGAGAACTACTTAATGTCAATTCTTAAAACTTCTGTGATTTTTCTTCTCCAAGCAAGGCAGACTCTGAGAAAACCTCATAGAGTGCAATTGATTTCTTCCTCATTAAAAAAATAATATAGGAGCAGAGATTTTTAAAAACACCAAACGAGATACAAGGTTTGGGAGTTTCGCCATAGACATGTACTATTGAATGGTAAAAAGTGAATTATTTAAGAAAGATGAGATTCTTACCATTTCCTTATACGTTTTATACCTCTGAGGGTACAAAAAGAGATGAAAGAAATTAATAATTCTCTCTTCTTATAGCTTAACTCATTCGCATGTATTGATGACTATACTTGTCATGGCCCACATGGGGCAGTAAAGCATCGACGAGTTAACTCACGCCTGTCGCACTATCTTGCAGTGTTGCTAAGCGATTATTTTTATCATGTTTCTCTGACATTTTGATAGATAGCGCTATTACTATTGTGCTAGATATAAATTTGGAGTATTCTATTACTAACGTGAATGAATCTTACAAGGGGAGCTTTCCAAGTGTAACCGGAATTTCGAGTTGAAATTTCGCATGAAGATACTAGAGATGATTTTAGGGATGCCGTATTTTTTCGTTTTTTCGAATGGGGTCGGGAAAGCCCTCAAAAAAAGGGCTAAAGATGCGGAAAAAACGCGTGCGCTAGCGGCACAAGGTAAACATAGGTGATAGAGGCTCTCCATCCTTATCAGTTCCGCATGGCCAAACGGTAGCGTGCTCGCCTCGCAGGCGGGAGGTCGTAGGTTCGGATTCTGACTGCAGCCCGTAATTTTATTTTACTTTATGCTTGTTTATTTTTCACTTACTTTATTTTGCACCATTCTCTCCGCAAACCGGCTTATGAGGTAGAACACGTAGTGACTGAAGATTTTTTTACAAATGCTGATAAAAACTCGAAGTTTCCTCGGATTGAAACGTTATATATAATTGAATAAACAAAACACTCTAAAACTCACCACATTTCGTTGCCAAGCTGAATTTCCGGAGTATCAGTCAGATACAGATACAGATTCGACTGATACTTCGAAAATTCAGCTTGGCAACGAAATTTGGTGAGTTTTAGAGTGTTTTGTTTATTCAATTATATATAACGTTTCAATCCAAGAGAAACTTCAAGTTTTTATCAGCATAGGTATGTAAAAATCTTCAGTCACTACGTGTTCTACCTCGTAAGGTGGTTTGCGGAGAGAATGGTGCAAAATAAAGTAAGTGAAAAATAAACAAGCATAAAGTAAAATAAAATTACGGGCTGTAGTCAGGATCCGAACCTACGACCTCCCGCCTGCGAGGCGAGCTCGCTACCGTTTGGCCATACGGAACTGATAAGGATGGAGAGCCTCTATCACCTACGTTTACCTTGTGCCGCTAGCGCACGCGTTTTTTCCGCATTTTTAGCCCTTTTTTTGAGGGCTTTCCCGACCCCATTCGAAAAAACGAAAAAATACGGCATCCCTAAAATCATCTCTAGTATCTTCATGCGAAATTTCAACTCGAAATTCCGGTTACACTTGGAAAGCTCCCCTTGTTAGTGATTTTTATTTTCATATAAAGCAACAAAATATTTTTATTGAAAAACATAATTGTATTGCTAGGCGCAGGCCGTGCATTTATAATGACATACAAATGGGTTAATGTGATTATTAAGCCCTCACTCCCTTTATCCTTCACACCTCCACCTAAAAATTTAAATACAAAAAGTCAACCTTCTATGGCATGAATTGATTTTAGATCTCAGATTCTGAGGGACACTAACTTATTTTGTGGCTTGCATAAAAAACATAGGGTACCAAATTTCTTTTTCTCAAAATTTCAAATTTTTGGGAAAAGAGAAAAACTGATGAAAATGTTTAAAATCATGCCACAGAGGAAAGATTCAATTTTTAAAAACCCAAGAAATACGTTCTTACGAATTTGTAAAGCTATGTCATGGAGGGTCAAAGGAGAAATACAGATTAAAGACAAGGCTCCTCAAAATTTTCCTCGAGTTGTAAAGCCTGATGTGACAAAGGGTAATTATGGAAAGCTTGAGACAAACCAAGAGTTTGAGGGAATCCGCTTTGGCAACAGGTAAAGATGAGACTAATTTCTCAAGAGCTAAAGGTACTGCAAATTCAGCAAATTCAGGATGTGCCACCAAGCACGGTTGTAGCGCAGACGCCAGGTCAACTCGAGTAATGGCAGCTGGATCATTACTCAACTGCAAAGCAAAAGCAAAAAAATTAATTAAACAGTCGGCAATGACCAATGGTACTTCGAGTAATTTGTGAACAGAAGGTCGGGTAAACTCACAAAAATATTGACTTGTGAATTTAGCTCTGCCATCCAAAACTTGAAATGCTCGTATCTCCTTTCTAGATTTTGCATTTTTGTTCCGAAACAATAAAAAGCTGTTACAAAAGGAAAATCAGATCACTTTTGTACTTTTGTACTCACTGAAGCACTTTTGCCAGAATGATTTTCAAGTAGTATGATACAGTCAGGGTGGCTAGCAAAATTTCACCCTATCATTCCCTGACTTTTCCCTATTTCCTCGAAGGAAATTCCCTGACTTTCTTGCAATAACAAGTCCCTACTTGAGGGCACTTAACTGATGTGGTCAAAACGTTGCCGCAACAATACGATCAGCTGGCCTGTTGCTGACCCGATTTTTACATTGAATACGGCTCCTCAAAAATTTCCCTGACCGTTGACAAAATTCGCTGACTTTCCCCTGATAATTCCCGCTTTTCCTGATTGCTAGCTTCCTTCTTTTCTGTGACTGATAAAATTTAGTCCAAATATTTGAAAAATCTGTGATAAAATATGAGAGTGCTGACTCTCAATTAGGTAAGTGATTACATTTTTCCTCCTCCTTGATGATGGGCCCAGATCAGCGAGATACTTACTGGCTGGAAATCAACAGGAAAATAACAACCGAGAACTTCAAAGGTTTCTTCCGTAAGATGTCCTAGCTTAAAGGTAGTGACAAACTTTGGCACAAGTTTAGTAAAGAGAAGCATTAGATTTCGCGGGTCCTTCTCTCCATCCATGGAACTAATTACACCGTAAACAAAGTCTGTCCCCATTGCCAGCAACTCTACAACACAAAGTCAACAAAATTCTAGAAGAAGTAGTATGGTTTCATGAAGAAGCCTGAGGAAAGAGGGCTTTGCCACTTTTCCTGTGTTAGTCACTCGAGTGATAAGAAGATTTTATGACAGCTGGCTTGTGTAGGAAGTATTCCTTGCTGATAGCCAAAATATCAAGGTAATCAGTCGAGTAAAGCTTTAGATTACTTAGACTCAGACAAGAATGAAAATTTGAGTATCACAGAGTTTTTAGTGCTAATTGCATAGACACATCAAACAATTAAATTTTTATAGGAGCTAAAGTGTCATGCGGTAATTTCTTACTTTGGAATTTAAACAACTTTTTGACTTGACTCAGCCACTCCAGAGATATGTTTGACTTCTATGATCAAGAGAGTAGCGCGTCAAACAATTGATTCAGTCATGGCTAAATGCCTGAATATGCTGCCATTGCCAGATGACACTGAATGTTTTCAACTTTACCATCATTAAGTATTACGATAGGCATTTTGATATGGTTTTGTACTAATTCTGAGTGATAGAAGAAAAACGGCTGTGAACCACCACTGACATCAATTCATTGCAAAATATTAATTTGATGCCTGTAAAATTTCATACAATATGAACGATGTGGTTGTCTGATGTATCTCCTTGACTCCTGTCATTAGCTTTCAAAGGCTTGCTAAAATGAATCTTTTTGTTGAACTCAGCTCCCCCCCCCCCTCCTTCTTTTCTTTTAATCCTTTTTCTCTTAAAAAAGGTACGCTACAAGCATTTTAGCTGAGATAATTTAAATTTCACCTAATTTTTTTATTGACATAAATAACTGCACTACATAATTGCTTTGATTCCGATAAATAATTTTACACAGCAGACTATAGCAGTGAAACAAAAGTAAAAACAAAGACTTTTTCTTTGATTGCTAAAAACATGCCGAAAGGGGAGAAGGCTAAAAACATGAAAAAAAATTGAGAGAAGAATTCTGCTGGTGACCTAGCTGTTATTTAGATTTCATTCATCCTGAAATTATTTTTTTACACTGGTAAGTGGTTGAATTTTTTTTTCACAGTTGTCAGCAAATTTTTTGAAAGTATCTAAAGTACTTAAAATTTTAACATATTGTTTCAGCAACTCCTAGCTCTGATAATTCAGTTTCTTACCTGGTGTTTTTGTGTCCATAAAGCAGCAAATAATTTGGTAAAACGTGTTTCTGTCATCATGCCGCTGAGACTGACAATAAAAATGGATGAAAGCTGTAGAGAAGAATTCTGCTGCTATCCCGTTATCAACATTCTTCATTTTTGCCTGGAACATTCAGTCAGTAAAACATACATAACTGCCAAATTTATCAAATTTATTAATTTTTTAATGAGAGACTAATTCTGAGGCTTCTGGGAAAACAGAGAGAATTTTGAATGACTTTTGTTATGTTTTAGATTTAAATTATAATTCCATAATTTGAGGTACAGAAACACTATCAATAGGTACTTATCTACTTACAAAACAAGAATTGCAAAACAATGTTGTTCTGGTGCATCAGGATGTGAGGAAAATTTGAGAACACATAAAACGGTGACTTACTGGACCAACGCAATTTTTGGATTTGGTGGTTTGGAACATGTAAAGTCAATTTTTTCACCCAAACGAAAGTTTTATTCTTTTGAGTCGAAGCATTTGGTGTTTTATGCTCAGAATAAAGTAAGTAAGCGTTTCACTGATATACTGTGTATTCTGTCCTTTTTGCTCTGTCTGTCAAACATAATTACTGCATTCTGTATAGTACTTATTATGAAGAGGCTTGCTTGCACTGTTCCGAAATTAATTAATCCTATACAAAAAAAAAACAAAAAAATAATAAAAAATTGGAGAACGAAGCTGGAGCAAAATCTGAAGTAAGACTTACAATGGCCAGGGTGCCCTTCAATGCAGCCGGAATGACTGAATGGTGATCTTTCATTCTTTCGCACAGAAAACGGGCAATAAAAGTGACTTCCATAGAAGAGAGAGCATCCTGAGGTAGTAAGGTCAAAATATTCGCGAGAACTAAACAGCCTTGCTCCCGCTTGTCATTGTCCAAGTGCAGAAGAAAAGGCCCAAGGTTCTCCACCAACTGCACAAGTTGAATGTTTTTACTGGTGATACCTATGATTAAGAAAATACACAGTGATACATTTAGAACTTTTAGCGTACCTAAGTAAAACAGGTAGGTGCAGAATCATGGGAAATAGCAAAACAAGATTTGTATGGGGAGACATTCCTATGAAGGGGGGAAATAGGAGATCCAGATCATGATCTAAACTGAAGTACCCTGACTAAGTTTACGTACTTAAAGGCTGCAACAAAAGATCGTCTGATGCCAGAATCAAGATGATCAGATCTTCTATTCCGGGCTAGAAGTACATAAATTCATTTGATATGGACTCTAAAAGAAATAGGTCACCGCTCAAAAAGAGAGGCTAATTAGGGTTTCCTACTAGTGGACCAGTGGATTGTGCTGAAAATTCTTTCGGTCACTCCAATCATTGGAGTGATCAAAAGTACCAGATCCAGCTATGACCACTCATTCGGCCATGACATGAGCACCGACCAAACACTTTGAGAACGCAATATGGTAATCAGTGACCGCCGTTTGAAAATAAGAAACATTAAAAAAGGAGTTGGCTTACATGTGCTAAGATGTTGCAAAAAATGTGGAATTGCGTATGATGTTAAACCATGGCGCATGTTGAACTGTCACAATATCTTTAGACTGAATAGATATAATATAGGCAATAGATAGGCATAATAGGCAATAGATACTTCACTGGCAAAACTGATAAATACAGTAATTTTGAATATTTTAGTAAGTTCATACTGTCCCAACGAGGGAAATGTTCAATAGTTGGCATGCTGATCGGTGATGGGTTTTAGGATTGAACGAGTTGAAACATGAGCACCTGTGTTTCTTCATTGGATGAAAACTGAGAGAGCAGCAAAGACATTATTTCACAGGGCTTAAAAAACAACTTCATGACTCACCTTTTACATATTTGTTACATTCTTCTTCGGTGATGTCCTCTACAGAGCTCAAGTTGGACAGATAAGCAGTGAAAGAACTCAACAAGTTTATGTCTTGATCAACATCCATTTCCAGATAAAGCGGTTTCCACACAAAACTGCAATTTTCTGAGAAAGGTATGTAACTTACGAGAAAGGAAGACCAAGATTATTACTGATTTAGAGGGCGAGTTCACATAATAATGATCGACAAAAGCACATGTACTTTAGGGTTTCGACAGGTGTGTTTATCAGTAACATAACCTATAAAAATTAGTGATGAACGATGACCAACGATGAGGAAACCGTGTGGTCAACATTCACCAGAGGCCATTATTTTTGTTGTTTTCAGTGTCTTGGAAAGAAATTTCATCTCATTCATTGTCACTTTCGTGTGTTTCGGCTCTCATTATGAGTGTTTAATTTTTCCCGAGTGAGTTTTTTCAGTACCAGTGCTACTTATGTTCAGTGATGAGTTATGGTAAACTTCCCGCACCCAACGAAATGAACAAGTTCTACAGTCCGAATTACACTCCCAAGTTAGGTGGTGCCCAGTCAGAAAGCATGAGTGGACTCAATAAAGACCCCGGCTCCCGTATGAATATGGTCGCAATGCCTCAACAGAGCTGCGATTTTAAGAACCAAGCTTCGCCTCTTTACGAAAACCTAGACTATTATAACGGCCGCAAGCCAGCTCAAAGTCCTCCGTACTACCACCAGCTGCCTACGCATACTAAGTCACATTCCATCAGCTCTCAGGACTCCAGACATTCCCTTCAAAGACTAAATATTATCGATTCACAATATGAGTCTAATCATCACAAGGCTCAGCCTCAAGTTCCTGTGGGTATGAAATTTCCGCCGCCCATGTCTTTCAAAGACAAGCCACCCTATGAAGCACCGCCAGTTTATGAAAACATTCAGGATTTGAAGAAACTAGTCAGTCATGAACCGTCACAACCAGGTCCGCAAGTTCCTCTTGTAGAACCGAAACCACTCACACCTTCAAACTCATCGCTTTCACTTCAGAAACCGAGTGTAACTCCTGCAGCTCATTCACTCTCGAAACCCGTAATTTCGCCAAATGCTCACTCTCTACCCAAGCCGATTAACCCTGCTTCTCATTCACTTCCTAAGCCAATGCCTCCACTTCATGCTCAGTTTGCATCAAAGTGTGAAATAGTTTCATCCAGCAGTGCAGTGGGTGTGACGATGGGGCAGCCAGCACTTGCTATGAGTTATCAACGCAACACATCGAGCTACGCTGATCCTGTGACTCCTCCACTCCCTACCAAGCCGAAGCCCATAGCCTCATCTGGAAAGAACTTGCTCCCGTATAATGTGACACCCCCTCGACCCATGGGGCCAACAGAGGCTGAACGAAAAATTGAAGAGCTGACCAGGCAACTTGAGGAAGAAATGGAGAAGCAAGAGGAAGAAGGGGAATACTTTGGTAATTTCATGTGAACAATTTTTTATATTGATTTCAATCAGATGTTATACACTTAAATTTTCCGTAGTGTGAGGTTTTTCCATTGACTTAAAACAGAATCTAGACCGCACACTAGGCCCGACTTTAGGCGGGGAAGGTAAGACAGCCAGGGGGGTAAAGCAGGATAAAGACTCGCCTTCAGCTTAGTTGATACAGCCAGATATACGAAGGGTGCCGACAGTTGATAGTAATCACTAATGGATTAGCCTTGTACTCGTAATGAGGGTTTCACTAGCACGTGGTTTGGGTTCGTAATGGCACAGGCGAGACGGGCATTTCTATTGTCTGGGCACCCTTTGCAATCCGGGTTGCCTATCGTCTCGCCGAAATTTCCTAATGCGCAGTTCAGATTGTATTATACGTTAATGAGTTTTTCACAAGCTTCTTCTGTGTCGGTGACAATTCTCCTCAATTTTTACAATTTACTCATTACAAGTATAACGTTTATTGCTAAATTAGCATTTCAAGAAAGAAGTGAAAACTATCTATCATAAGAATCACTCTAGCAGCTGCCTTATTATATCAAAGAATTGACAGTTGAGTTACTCGTTTATGACGTTTAAGCTGTTAAACTAAATGTTTGGGACCATCTTGAAATTGAATTTCCAGTGTAACAGATAATATTTTTCTATTGATTTTTGGTTTGCAAACCAATGCAAGCCCACAAAGTTTTTACCCAATGCCAAACAATCTTCAGAGGCTGTTAGGACCATTTAGTTTCAAATACTTAGTAAGCAGGGAAATTAAACATTATACTTAGTAACAGTAAGTTCATTTAACAATGCATCTAGCCAATGAGACAACAGTGTATGAAAGTAAAGTTAGCAATTCAACAACAGTGTTGAGCATCATCTTGCAAGTTTTCATGCATTATGTAAAGTATTAGAACTGGGGGAAGGAAGGAGAGGGAAAATGGCACTACTCAACATGAATGAAAGTCACATAAATATTACAATCTAGACCGCGCATTAGGAAATTTCGGAGAGACGATAGGCAACCCAGATTGCAAAGGGTGTCCAGACAATAGAGATGCCAGTCTTGCCTGTGCTGTTGCCTGGCAACCTTCCTACGTCCGGCTGTATCAACTAAGCGTCTTCATCCTGCACGCCTTGCTTTAACCCCCCTACCTGTCTTACCTCCCCTGCCTGAAGTTAGGCCTAGTGCGCGGTCTAGATTGTGTTATAAGTCAACGGGTAGTCAATGATGACACCCGATGATCGATGCATCCAGGTTGATACGACTTACATCCTATCTTTTATTTTCCAAGTTCTATGATAACATCGCTATTTAGCTCTTGTATAAAATTTTTGTATTACAGTAGGCTTGCGCATTGATTTTCAGTAACACTCTAATGTAATTCAAATGGCTCACACTGTGTCGCATATTCACTCATTACGTAATTCTATCATAAAACAAAATTATGTACATCTAATATTTCTGTGTCTCCTGAGTACCTCCCCGAGTAATTTCTCTAAAGGTCTGTGGATATCTGCTTTACTTCTCACCGTAAGCAAGTTGATTATATTTCAATGCCTTTTTCTGAATGTCTTGGTTACAGGTATCTGCCACACATGTGGTGAAAAAGTAACAGGAGCGGGTCAAGCATGTCAGGCCATGGGAAATCTATACCATACCAATTGTTTCATTTGTTGCTCATGTGGACGTGCTCTGCGAGGCAAGGCATTCTACAATGTCCACGGTAGAGTCTACTGTGAAGAAGACTACCTATACTCTGGTTTCCAGCAAACTGCCGAGAAGTGTGCTATCTGCGGCCATCTGATCATGGAAATGGTAAGTTGGTTTTTCAAGTAAAAGCACACTATCACATCATACTATGCAGACCAATGGTTTTTTTATCGTCTGGAGCATTTAGTTTGAATTTTTGTTCACAACTGTCACCCTAAGACCATTGAGCCAATGGTCCAATGTTTGACCAATGATCAATGATCAGATCACTATCGGACACAAACACAATGTGAGTAGAATCACGTGTTCAGTTGTGCTCTCAGCAGCAGGTTTCTGACTAGACCTTTTGGGTTGAGCTTAACAGGAATACAACCAGCAGTGTTTGAAGCTTGGCATAAAGTCTTAGCAGCCATCTGACCTGCAACTTTTTTGTTAGGGGCCATCTCAGATTTCTTAGCGGCCAAAATGAAAAATTGAAGAATTGATAGCTTGACCCGACATGGCACCTTGCAGAATGCGCCAAAAAATTCTAAAAACGGAGTTTAACAACAAATTTCTTAGTGGCAGAGGCTTTACCGCTAGTTTCATTTCTTAGCAAGGTGATTTCTTACCGGCAAATTGCTGTTTGGCCAGTGTGTGTTTCAAACACTGACACCCAGTTGTATTTATAATAAAATTTTTCTTTTTTAAATTATTTTATATTTTCATTTTAAATTTTTTTTAGCCCCTCCTCAACAGTGGGAACTTAGATTGTAATGACCTTGTACCATTAATGCTGCTGACACCAGCTGTCAGCCCTAAGGATAGTTGAATCAGTATCTGGTGTATTAAACACCAGTTGTAGGTTACGATAAATTCTTTCCATCTTCACATTCCTAAGTACATCACTACCACTGTCCGTATTAAGATCCTAACTTTGCATTTTCTTTTAGATTTTGCAAGCAATGGGGAAATCTTATCATCCAGGCTGCTTCCGCTGTTGTATGTGCAATGAGTGTTTGGATGGAGTTCCTTTCACGGTCGATGTTGACAATAAAATCTATTGTGTCAATGATTATCACAGGTTAGTCAAATAAATGGATACATTTGAAGTCTGCACAGCATGTCCTAGGATTAACATAAAATAATGTAAGGGTCAGTTCAAGCGACTAAAATTAGGATTTTTTTTCTTTTGAAAATGAGTTCAAAAATCAATCTTGTCCAAGCTAGTTCTTGAGGTCCAGAGGATAATCAGGTTTTCGTAAATTTTGGGTGTTTGGTAGACAGGTAATTATGAAATGCAGCACTCTTGGTATAATTACTGATACTGCTTTTGAATTTGTACTAGAATAACTATTGAATGGGGAGGGTTTTGGAGGGAGATCAACCTTTTTGGTTTTATCTATCTTTCTTGTGTTGTTGAGGAACCCCTTTACCAACCAAATGTTCATCCATCGCAAATATGTTCCCATGTAACTTGCAAGGCTTCGATTTTTAGACTCTGGTTCAAAGGGCTGAAAACTCTTCCTCTAACCTCTAGAATCAACCCCCAAATTTTTTTGTGTTAACTCTGGAACACTCTTCAAGCACATTTCTTCATTTTTGATTTTCAGGTATGCAAATGTGTGTGGGTTCAGATGATTGCAGAATTTTCATCAGCGTTTAAAGCTGCATTTTGACTTAGAAATTGTTTGCATGGTTTCAGTGTTGTACATTTTCATTAATTTTTAAATACTTTTAATAATCATATATGTTTGCCTCTCATCCACTCTGGTATGCTAAATTTTAATGTGGTGTTGAGTACTTTTTCTTCTTTTTATCTCAAGCTCAGGATGATTTGGACTTAACTTTGCGACAAGGATCTACAACTTCTGAGTCATACGTAAAAACACTTATATGCGTAGGACAACTAATGGCTTTTGTGTTGTTTCTTATCTGAGATAGAAATTTTAGTTCCTAATTGCATAATGCAGTCCAGTTCTTAAAAGAGCGAGGCTGCCACAATTATCTACACAGAATACTCAAGTAAAAAGTGAATTTGGGTGTCTCATTAATGGAATCAATTTTGCTCGACACAAGACTTTGCTACACGACATGAGATTAATATCTGTGTGTCTCTTTACCATCTTCAAATAATCTCTGTTGTTTCTTCTTTATTTTCTGTGATCTTGACTTTCTCGTAACAATTGCTCATTTTTCAGAATGTTTGCTCCAAAGTGTGCAGCTTGCGGGAAAGGAATCACACCTGTTGAAGTAAGTTTCTAAAGTAAATTCATTGATTTTTTCAAAATCCCAGAGCTCAAGTAATCTTACACTTATCGTTCGACCAAGTATAGAAGACTAGCAGTCTAATACAAAATGACTTTTGAAAAACTATAAACTGAAGGACTAAGAATTTCTAAATGGATGAAGTCCTTCAGAAATATTTCAAATTTTTCGCCCAGAAAGTAATAGAACATTGAGCCAAACACAGGAGGCTTGAAATTTTCAAAAGGGTTTAATGAAGAAAGCAGAGCTACAAAATGTTATTGAGTAGAATTAGCGCATGTTTTCTGAAAGACTCGGTGATAAATTGAATCTCTTTCAAGTGCTGCCCAGTGAAAATCTGAAACATCCAGTATTATTTACACGAGTAAAAAAAGTTAACAGAGTCACCATGTTGTTTTTTTCTAAAATCTGGTGTTGTATGGACCACTAGACAGGGTGTCGATTGTACAGGATAAGTACGGATACACTGAAAAAGCACGGATTTTCAAAGGTCGGTACGGTAGTACAGAAAAGGTACGGTTTTTCGGTATAAAGGTTCGGAAATTCAAGATTTTTGTGACAAACTCAAAAATATAGCATTGGTCGTATGCGATGTTCTAACATGATCCATTTATCAACATCCCGCTTCAATTCCTCATGTTTTTCGGTTTATTCCTTTGTCATTCCATCATTCCAATTTTCCAATCCGTGTATAGTGAAAAATACGTGTGAGGTGAGGAAAAGGTAAGAAAAAAGCAAGGATTCTAAGAATCGCCAAAAAAGGAATTAATGGGAAAGTAAGGGAAAAGCAAGGAATCTGAATGACAGGGTACCAGTAGAAACCCTGTAATGGTATCTCACAGTATTCTATTTTTCCTCTTTTATAAAATCTGGTATTTAATATCAATTGATCAGGTGACAATGATTTTGTATCTTAAGGCAATGATATTGATTACCCTAGCTTAATGGCATGTCACTCAGTGTAGTACGAATTATGTTGTCTCAATATTCAAAAATGCATTATATTTTTCAATCATTTTATTTTCTTATGTGACAATGATAAATTCTCTGTTACTCAGGGCACAGAAGAAACAGTACGAGTTGTCTCAATGGACAAGGATTTCCATGTTGATTGCTACGTGTGTGAGGTTCGTTTGATCTACATGTCTCTTTTTCCTCTTAATTTTTCTTAAAGCTTACAACTTACACCATTTGCGCTTTCAATTTGTATTTGCAATCCTCAAAATGAGTGAGCTACAGCTATCTGAAGTATTATGAGTCATCAAATCTGACGAGTCATAATTGCTCCTAAAAGAGATTATCTCTTGAGCAGAATGTTGAAATGAAAAGAGAATAAAATTAGTCACAGATTTTTTCCTCCACTGGCATCATGATGATTCATGGATTCAATTTTTTCATATTGATTTCAAAGTATATAGGTAGATTGAATCAAGGTCATTCCTTCAAAAAAAAAGGGGGGGGGGCTTGAAAAAATCAGTGTGGTCAAAGTTGTCTGAACATCAAAAGCAGTGCAGTTGAAGTAATTTTGGCCAGAAGTTAGCGCCTAAGCAATAATGAATACTTCCATGGTCTAAATTTGAAGTTGGAACTCCTTCAAAATCATATTAAATCATTGAAGTTAGATGCACCTAGCTCATTTGTTACAATTTCATTGAAAATGGCCTCAGATGAAGGCCGAACTCCTATGACTCTGATGAAGAAAAGCTTGTCCTGTCCTGTAGTATGCAGATATCAGTTCCTCAAAAAACTCATTTTCCTCAGAGTCATAAAAACACAGATAATTTTAAGATAAAGTTCATTGCCGAATGCTGACTCTGTTCCGAAACGCCAACAGAACGAACTCAATTCATCGCTGGCATTATCCAATTCATTTCTTTGTAAAGCAATCAAAAGCACGAATGTGCTTCAAGCATGCAACTAAGCTCCTACTATTTGGGAATAGGAATACAGCCCTTACTGGTATCTACACCATGTTTGCTAGTGTACACCGCTCACCCGCTGAAACATTTTGCCTGTCGGAGCACATTCTGCTTGCCTGGGCTGATTGAAGCAATCTCATCAAATTTGTCTCATTGATAGGGTGAAACGGTGATGTCTGATTCATAAAATCCCTGATTCATTACCAGCCAAGCACTTGCTAGAATATGACTAAGGGGAGCCAATCCTGTTTCGGAGACACTGTCTCTCCTACAGAGGCCAATTATAACTCTGTGAGTGGAGATTGCATACAATCTCACTGCCTTTAACATACTCAATCGGTCAAGTTGGACCTGCTATTCATTGGGCATAGCTCATTTGCGTAATAGGGTATGCATGGACACTTACCTGCCTGAAAGTACAAGCGCGCAAGTACAAGTATCTTGCGCCTGTTAAACTGGATATGAACTTGACTCCTCAGGAAAGGAAAAAACCCACTAAAATTGAGGCACTGGATGCGAAAAGATCACTTCTCGGTTGCAGTGTTTCAAAGTCTCCTCTAATATTTTATTCATTGTAAGGAAAGTGAATGCAACCATTTCACTAAAAATGTCACCGAATATTCTTATGAGTCTACAATTGTCTATGGGAAGAATTCTGGCAAAATCACCCATTATATTCTTCTCCAGAGGATTAATTAGCAACAGAGATTCTGAAACACTGCAATCGAGAAGTGCCCTTTTTGTATCCAGTGCCTCAATTGTGGTTTGAACCATTAACAACAACAAGCCGGTAGAGTAGTACCGGTTCCATACTGTTAGCAGAGAAATCAAGGTCAAAAAATATCAGAAATTGAACTCCAATTGGCATCAGCACAAACCTGAGAGAGAGAGAGCGTTCAGCTCTGGCAGATGAATTGGAACATTTATTGGAGGTCACGCGGAGATATATTGATGTAGGTCTTTCGGCATGACCCCAACTTAATAAGTCAATGCGTCTGCGTGAGCTGAACGCTCTCCTCCTTAGTCTCGCAATGTTTCTCATTAAAAGTCAAATTTTTTAATGTAATGAAAATCGTTGAAATTTGTAGGCCTTGATTTCCTTGGACCTAGCTTCAGTTTACTCACCTTCTTGCTTGACTCCTTGTATTGACTTAATTCGTGAAATTCTTTCACAACATAGAAATGAAAGACGAGTGCATATGTTTTAAGGAAGTGAATGGTCGTGCTAAATCCCAACACTTTCTCGTGATCTGGCATATTAGCTTAGTGGGCGTTTGCCACACATTCCACGATAGGGCATTTTTTTAGCAAGTCCAGAGGCAAGTCTCTAATTCAGTTCTTCCTGAGTTGCCCTCTCTTTGACATCCTTCTATACTCATTTTAATAGTGGACATCAAACATTAAACAAACAAACCTGTTTGTCAAACAACATTAACATAAACATCAGCGGAAACATCAGCTTTTGCATTTGACTGTCAACATTATCGTCAAAAAACACTAACCAAGATGCTGAATTTTCATTACAGGATTGTGGTATGCAGCTCACAGATGAACCGGACAAGCGGTGCTATCCTCTTGAAGGCCGACTCATGTGCCGTCCCTGCCACATCCAACACCTTAATCACCATCCCAAACATTTGCAGGTTTGTAAGCTGCACGTATTACTGTATAACAATAGCTAAGTGTGAAAAATGTGCACTTCTATGGCGACGTTTGCAAATCACCGATTTTTTTATTCCTTTTTTTATTTGACGATTTTCATTTTATTCTTTTATTCATTGATTCAGATGTTTTGCTTCAATCTTGCTGAGCATGAATTTCAAATGAGATATGAGAGGAGGAGGTCTGTCTTTTTTTTGGGCAAGAAAAAGAGAACTCTCCTTGGTCACTTATTTAGCAACGCTTCAACATTTCTCATTGAAAGTTCACGTTAACATGCTGAAAGACCTGCTCCTGAGCCTGATCTCTATGAAAATAGAACGAAAAAAGCTCCAAATTCTAAACTTAACATTCTCGGGAGTAGGAGTATTGAACTTGTCTTTTGCAGTAGTGAAGTGGTGTTTTGAAAGGCCAAAATAGGTAATTTGAATTGATCAACGAAATTTTGTTTTGGAGGCTCAAAAACTTAGGTCATATTTTGAAAAAATTTATTGCAGTGCCTACATCAAATATTTTAAATATCTCTGTGCAAATACACTATATATTGAATTTTTAAGGATTCATGTCAACCTTTAAGTGTAAAAATGCAAACTTGTAATTTCTGCTAGTATATCGTAAGAAATCGCATTGAAAACTTGAGCGGAATTGCACAAGGCTAGAAACCTCAGAAATTCGCGGATTTCGCATTGTGAAACCCTGAAACTCACGATGATGTTGCAATATGAGCGTGATTTTGCACCAGGGTCTCAATTTCGCGTTGGGAATTTAATAATAGGCGAGTGCCACCAACATTTTTTTCTTGGTCCTGCTTTAATATGACCAATGCCAAAATTTTGCAAAAAAAACGCGATTCACGGCGACAGTGACTAGCTTGGGTTGCAGCATATATGATCTTGATCCTCAATGTAATACTTTTAGGCTCATAAACTTGAGTGTACTTGTTTCTTGTTACTTCCTCCCAAGGAATCATTTACTATGTCTTCGTTTTAAGACTTTGTCCCTTTTTGGATGGAGATAACCCATGAAGCATTTAAGAGGGCACCCAGAAACTTTATTTTCTCACATGTTCCTTAGTAACTGTTTTTTACAAGATTATCTTTTTGTGTTTCAGAGTGTTTCTGCAACGTACCAGTACATGGGTTAATTCAACCTTCTTGTGTTTGAAGGTAGCAAATCAGCTACTCATCAAAAGCGACATGCCTGTTATGATCGACATTGATTTTGCAAAAACTCGCAGTTCTTTCAAGGAAATTTTATCTTTCCAATTTATAATAATGTTTTCTATTTTGTCAATTCATCACTCATATCGCTTTCATCTCAAATTCTGTCGAATTTCATTATGAAATGATAATTCCAATAGCATTTTTTTTTTCATGTAACCAGTAAATTGTTCAGGTCAGTAATACTTTTTCTACCTTCCTTATGAAAGTCGGTGCCTCTAAATTTTTCATTCCAACGGGAAGAAGCAACCATTCTTAATATCCCTCGTAGAGCTAGTAGTATTGTTTATTGTCTCTTTTTAAAATCAATGTGTGCTCTAATATTTGCTCAAACGGCAAAATTTTATATATTTTTTAATTATTGAATGTTTGTGTAAATACTTTTCTTTACTTTGGCATTCGATCATATTTAGTGTTAAGATTTTTTCAATCGATTCAAGTGCGGTTTAATTCTTAGGAGGGATAAGTAAATCGTGGGAGCTATTATTAAAATTAAAAATTATAAGCATGAACTTCATTCTATCGAATAAGTTCAGGTTTGGGAAAATCTATGATTGATAGCTATTTTAGCAACAAAAAAAATTACTATGGAAAGTAAAAAAAAACGATTGAATCACTTTTTACATTGATTCAAGTGTTGCCTTCCTGAATTGATCAACAGCTCGCCTCTCATTTTTGAAAATTTTAGGATGCTTAGGTGCTTTGTTTGATTTTGCGTGATTCGTTGGTTTTTCAATTTACATGGAAAGTTCCATCACATCCTTGGAAATTTTCTTATTTTCCAAATCGAAATTTTTAAACATAAATTATTCTATAATGTAATTCAATGAACTAGGGGAGAATGGAAAACATTAGATTCTCTCTAAGTGCTTGAATAGGCCATTGAAGTTTTTAATTTGTGATTTTTCTTAGTTGTAATTAATTCACAAAAATAAATGAAAAATAATATCGGCTGAAATGATGTCAGAACGCAGGGTGCCAGTATAGGTATATTTTAATGGAGGAGAGGTACACCTTTCCTGTTGGTCTATTCTCTTTTGTTTCTTAAACTTTAATTTTTTCAAAACCTCTTTTGTCTCATGAAGTTCCTTTTATGCTGTAATAAACATTTTTGATAGTTCAAGAAACCTTTATAATACAGAATCCTGATTGCATTAACAAAAATTTTATACTTTTCTTTATGAAACTATCTTATTTCCTTTTAGTTACTGATTTTAGGTGGGACGTAAATCTACCGGTGTTATTTATTTGTATAGTTATTCGATCATTAAAAAATATTCGTTTTGGCATTTTATCGCTATTGATACTCATTAGGTGTACTGTGTAGTGCATAATTATCATTGAAATATGCGAGCTATATCTCTGTATCAAGTTGTAAATTTTGTTGAAGTTAAAGCTGTAATGTATTCTTTTTAATTCTAACCTTACTTTGTTGTTATTTTGGTGTTATGCTGAGAGTTGGATGGAATTCCATTATAGTGTGATGTTATGTATACTGTTCAAGAATTGTTCTCCTCTTCTTTTTCTTTATTTAAAACTAAGTATTTATTGGGCGAGTGTAGCTGAAATCAGCCTTACTACATCAGATGTTGCCGAATTTTCTCTGGTGTTTCCTTTTTTGAACAGAAACTTAAGCAACATGAAACTTGAAATTTTGCAAACATATTTTTCATAATCAATGGTAAATTCACAGAAAGTTCCAAGTGGCTTTAAGTACCTAGTTTAGTTCTCTGTTTAAAAAAAGGAAAAAAAGAGGAAAAAATTATGCAACATATAATGCAGTCAATCTGATCCCAGTTAAATCAAGTCTAATTGTGGGATTGCTCTTTTGATCAATGTTCAGAACAATTCCAATAGTTGACTAAAATTTACGTTTTAATGTGATACATTTTTATCAAATACCATACTTTTTACAATATTCAATCTATTTTCTATTTCTAATTTCCTATTTCATGGACTATTTTCATATCTAATCGAAACCTTCCCCAGGCTTTCAAATTTGCTTAATTTACTGCGGATAAGTTTTTTTCAACGCATAGGTGCTCAATTTTTATACTTTTATTCTTTCGCTATTTTAAAAATTTTAAATCTCATTGCCAGCTCTCCCCCCCCCCCCCCCCCCAGCAAAACCAATTCACATAGGTCTGTCCGTATCATTGAAGAGTTTTAAGACCTCATTACAGTACGTTGGCAGCGAGAAGTTTAAATTGAATGCATTTCTCATGGGAGAAGCCAATGTTACGTTATATTGGCTGTGGTGTTGAGTGAAGGCAGGTTGGAGGAGTGGATTTCCAAAAGATATGCAGTGGTCTTCCTGTGTGGCTTGGCCTTGCCTCAAAGAGAATGATCAAATATGACTTTCAGAACGATGATCAGTCTGCTTTTCAATGCATAATATGTTAGTTTTATCTTACAAGATCCCTGTTACTCATCATTCTTAAAATATTGCAATAAGTAAATTCCTGCTATGAATTACACACGCGATTTTCTTAATGCTTAAAATCAAATCCCAAAGGATAATATAGCCTTTCTCCTTGCATCACAATTGTTATTTGTTTCTATCTACCTTTTGTATTTCGGCAATTCGCAACGTTGTGTATATATTTTATTCCATTAAAATGATTTCATTTTTACTTCAGTGTTTCATTTAATTATGATCAGCCACCCTTTTGACACCCAAGTTTTAAAAGACGGGGTGTGCGTTTATTTGCAAACTCATCTGAGGCATGAATGTCACTGATAGGTGTGTGTGGCCTAGATTAAAGCCAATAGTGCCCTGCTGGTTAATAATCAGAATTTTTGGCACAACAAGATAAGGGAAAAGCCCAACTTATTTTATCTTGCACTGATATGTAAGTAGGAAGTATAATTTATTTTGAAGTATTGAACATGATGATTTTGGAAGAGAACCCCAAGTTCCTATTAATATATTTAGTTTTATTTCATCCCCTTTTTTTGTTTTGACAGATATCGTATACTTAAATACTTAGCACCCTCAGCTTTCTGAATAAGTAAAGAATCCATCGGGAGCACAAATAGTAAACTATTCAAAAACTATGCACTTACCCTGCTGTATGCTTCGACTGAACCAACAATAAATGTACGTGGAAGAGAAAATAATTAAGGTGTTGGTCACGTTTGTATCGCGTCATAAGTAAGCTTTGATTAACGAATAATGTTTTAAATAAACCTGCAGATGGATATCGTACATTACAAGTTCACCTTCAATTTTATGGCATAGGCAACAAACATACTGGGAAGCACTATTAATGAGGGGCTTGGAGGAAAAGGCGCAAAAGTGCAGTCTCTTAAAAAATTGAGATATTAATGATTTCAAGTATAACTAGTCTTATTCTGTGAAAAATTCGCTCCTATATGTGCACCCGATTTCGAATTGGATGAATTTGCGCGTGGTCTCAAGCAAAAACCATTATTAGGTAAGAACGAACTTCGCGTTTGATCCGCGACCACCTGATGGTCAGGTGCAGTTCAGCATGGATGATTCTGAAGTCGGTCATGATGTCTACCCTACAGCTGTTAGTGTCTCTCGGTCGCTTGAATGTTGAAAATGAATGAAAAAAATCACATGTTGAATATCCCAACAGAGGCGGACTGGCCCCTCGGGAAATTGCCAACGGACCGGCTCATTGCTGTGCCGCGATGGACACCCCCCCCCCCCCCCGTAATTGTTCGATATTAGCCATAGGCGTACCTAGGTCATTTTGCAAAAATTGCCGAAGTTAAGTTAGATTGCCGGAGTTCATATTTGTTTGAATGATATCAAGAATATATCGACGGCGTAAGTCCGCAATCACACAATATCTTTTGCGGTGTCTGAAAATCTCCGCTTCTATGTTATTTCCGAAAAGAGAACAAATTGACACCATTCCTCGATGTTTTTGCAGAATTTTCTTCGCGCAGAGAAAAAAAAAATCACGGCAGTTTTAAAGAATTCCCACTGAGTAGTTTTCCGTTTAAAAAAAAATAAAGTATAACAAGGAGTCTGCGGCGTCACAAACCGAGTTACCTATGTGGTGGCCGACTCACACCGTCGATATGTCCTTGGAAATTTTGCCACATGTGGTGAAAAAAATGTCCACTTTCTCCCATGGAAGTTAGGTAAGTTCGACGTTTTCCAGAAGATAGAACAACAGCATTCCAACTCGAAAAATGCCCACTCGTAAATTACATTTTCACCGGAAAACGTTCAGGATTGCAAGCTCGCGGTGTGCTCTGTTCGGAAATGGTGCACACCAAGTAACCCCGAGATGAGCCGCACTTCACTCAAAACGCGTTCGCCGAAGAAAAAATTCGTCGCAAGTGAGTGGGAAAAAAAATTGTTTTTAAAACCTTTTATTTACGCATAGAAAATCCGCGCGACTTTTCAACGACTTGAGCGCGCACCGTGGTATGTATACGCGCAATGCATGAAGTATTTCGCAGACTCGTAAGGCGCTATGCGTCGCACGGACTGCTGTACACGCAATGCATGAAGTATCCTGCGATCTTGTAAGGCGCTACTATGCCTTTCGCGCCGTGCGCGCCAGCCCCGCGCCGTGTATTTGATGCTTTCCAACTTATGATTTTAAAGATTTTGTAGAGCTTGTTGGAATTATTGTCATTTCAAATGATAAAACATTGCATCGATGGTGAAACTACCATACCACGTATCTCGGAAAACCCGATTTTTCAGGAGAGCAATAAAACTGCCTCCGTTCCTTATTTTTGATAGTTAAAAGGTATTAAATCTTGGAGTTAGAAATGATAGGATGCTTTTTACCATGCCTTGAACATTTTAAAAATATAGCCCCACCAGTTAGCAAATACAGTGGAATCCTCGAGATAATGTGAATTTCCAATTAAGATTTTGTGCCTGTTATTTGAGGATTTTGATCGATTTAAAGGCTTATCTAACGAAGAGTCAAATTGAACATTGTGCTTGACTTAATGCACTGAAAGTCTCTGTAGGTCCTACAGCTGGACCAGTCATCGTATTTTTATTAATTACAATATCTACTTTTAAACG